AAGTAGTACAGTCATCGTCGATAAGTAATTCAAATAAATCACAAAAAATAAAATTCAAAGTTTCAATAATTGTACATAATATATATTCGAAAATGTACACAACGCTATCTATCCGTGTGGAAAATAATAACTAATAAACTATTTTTTTTTATACTGGCTAGAAATATAATAAGTTATAACACATATTATGAAAAATTAACAATCAATGTTTTTACCGAGCAACGCTCCAAGACTACTATTGTTATGCACTGTTTAATTACTACATTTGTTATTCACGGTGTGACACGTTAACGTATTGGTCGTTGTTGAAATCCAAGAAACCTAATGTGTATATTATATCAGCTGTACGGTTATATTTCGATTACGTTATCTCGTCCTACGTACGACGAATGACAAGAAACGGTGAAGACAATCTGATAACAGTGCGGATATCGCCAGAAACGTTAGGCATGCCATTGCAAAGTTTAGCCTATTGCACTGTCGCTATTATTGTTATTTTGTTTTTTGTTTAATAACATTTATATCGGATGGTCTCGGGACGGATTCTTTTTAGGGGGTAGAGGGTGGTTTGGGCGCATACAGGCTCACAAAAGGAATACTTAAAATAGACGACGATGACAGTGAAAAAGACGAGAAGAATGAGCCAAAAGACGTTCGTGGAAATGTCGGGCCACCATTGTAGCTGCAGTCAGCGGGGTTAGTGTGTTCCTGGTCGTGTTAAACGCAATAATTCAGTTTTGACCTACATCGCCGCGATCAGACACGGTGGCACTTTAGGGTTTGGAGCGGTACTCTCTTCCCTCGTCCATCACACAAAAGCGCTTATCCTCTTGTGTGTATGTGTACAAAGGTAATAAAAACACTTCCCCCGGCCACGACTCGAGTGTTTAAAACTTTACTCGACAAACGTTTGTTTATTTCATGCGACAATCGTCTACGTAATAATAATAATAATAATATTATAAACATTGCGTAGTATCATGACGATGTTTTTTCGGGAATGGGGGAGGGGCGAATTCTGTTTTACACGTATCATCATAATAATGATGATAATAGAAATTTTCGAAAACATTCTGAAACCATATTTATGCTATTTATCTACTTATTAGAGCATGCCCGTGAAATTGTCGATAAGTGTACTTTGTGAGTGATACTAGTTTAAGGGACTCCCAAACGGTTCTGAAGAAACACCAAACATGTTTAAAATCTCGTCGGGTTTGATTTGACAAAACATTAAGAAAAGCAAAAAAAAAACGTTTTAACGTTCACTTATAAAAAAACTCTCTCTCGGAAGGCTGTACTAAATAGCTCAGTAGCAAAAAAAAATATTTTTAGAACCTAATATTAAACATTTTGAAATCGTTTTATTATGATATTAAACGATTTTATTAACGTTTTAATTTCCACATCTTAATTGTCAAAGAAATATGTCAATAACGTTCTTGTACCTAACGTTAGTAAAAATATTTTACAATTTGGAAAAGTTACAATGATTTTTAATTTTTTTAAATATACAAAATATACATTTTTGTATAAAACATAATATGTAGTTTGAAAAATATCAATAAAAATATATAAATACATTTCTCATAATGTAGTAATGTTATTTATAAAATATTTTACCAACGCTTATATCAACAGAATTATGACGTTCTAATAAATTCTCAAAACATTTCATTGCTACAAATTACAATTTAATTCGGTCAACTAGTGCATACACGATTTATATAATCTGTTCGATGACTAATTATAATTGATGTATTTTAAAACTTAGAATTAAAAACATGTAGAAAAATTTACACATATTTGAGTTGCCCGTAATTAAATACCAACACAGTTTCTCGTTTTATACCTATGTCGATTATGGAAATAAAGCTTTTATCTAGGGTAAAATATCCAAAAATAATAAAGGGAAAAAAACGGAGCATGACTTGCGCATATAATATCGCCAGAAAGGTATTTATTTTTCGCAGTCGTATTAATAATTATAATGTAGCCCTAAGCCGTAACGTTGACCTAAGTGTGCATTGTGTTCAGAAAATATTATAAACCGCGTAAATGTATTGTTCTCAGTCGAATATTTCACGTAGAATTATTATAATGCGGTGGTAAAGGGTTCATGTTTAGTACGGCGCTGTCCTAGATTGTTTTAATGTTACAGCTCGTGGTTTAATTAAAATCACCACGAAAGCCAAGATTAAATCGTACTTCACGTGTATATAATGCATTCAACATAATGATTGCGAATTCAAAAGGTCATGAAGGTACCCGGCGCTTTAAATCGAACACAATAATTATGTTATGTACAATAAAATATTGTTGAAAACAATATTTGTAAAGCACAATCGTAGAATTTACCGCAGACAAAGGAAAACATTGACGAATGACTCATGTCGAGTCCCTAAGGTATCGATAAAAAAAAAAATCCATAAAATTCAGATTATTAATTGAAGCGCATGAATCGGTAAAGTAATGATTTATGACAATTTAAGTACTAACATATCAAAAAAGCCAGCGTCGTATACGAAGGGGAAGATTTAATGTAACCATTCCTTCTTTTCCAATAACCATCGTTAAAAAACAAACCTTCTCAGCTTTGCATTGAAATGTACAATTTACTATAGCACATAATATGTTTTATGATTATTAATTTATAATTATGATTATTATTATTAATATTTAAAGACGTATATTTGTTTAGTTTTAGTCTCGTAGTTCATTTAAGTTTTTCATCACATTACATTTTCAAATATAGTTTTACTGTTTCTAAAACTGCTTGCGAAAAATTGTGTATACTGTAGAAATTACTTCTCCGAGAGTAGAATTTAATAGTTAGTATTGCTCCATCGATGTGATTTGAGATGAGTTAGTGGAAAGAATACATCATAAAATCGACCTACTCCATTTCAATGCTAACGTCGGTAATAACTATACAAGCGCTATCTTTGTAGGAAAATCTGTTCGATATTACATTTTTATGGTAAAATTATTTTTTTTATCCGTTATAGAATGTAAAGAAATGTTCACTTCTGATGTTAAACAAGCCGAGTATCCAAAAACCATACCCACGATTGGTCGTAACTAATAATATTATGGTGCTATATTTAGATTAAATAACATTTTCAAAACATACGCTCTATACAAAAACTACTCAAAGAAGCCCCTTTTTTAGATATTGGAAACTCTATTATGCTTTGTAATTCGAATATTATCCGCAAGGTACCCAATTAAAGTACTTATACAACAGTGGTCATTTGATATGCTTATAAATTATGGCAGGAAAGGTATTAAAAAAAAACCTTAATTTGTAAGGTATAATAAGATTGTATACTGAAAATAATGAAAATATATAATGTTTGAAACTTACTCAAAAGTTTTAGAGGACTAACTAGTGAAGTTTTTTTTTAACGAGATAAATCATTTGGAAAATAATTAAGTTATTAATTAATTAATACCATAGAATACCTCGGAAAATGAAACTATTTTGCGATTAATAAAGTTTGGGTTCATAAACATTATTACAGAATTTATTAAACGCTGCTTAAGTAGTGTTTCAATACGTTCAAACTTGATTTATAGCTGTATTTGTCAAGTGAAATGTTTATTTTTCATTTATTTCGTGCATATCGCCGGTAGTTTAATTTTTTTGGCACGTCGACCGACTTAAAGCAAAAAATCAACTAATTACACCATTACAACCAACATGTGTAGTTACACATCGCTTTTATCCCGTAATTCTGCACAGATTTCCCGTTAAGATATCCGAACATATCGTTAAGTTCAATATTAAGTGGATATCAAAGTGACATTTTATTAAAAGTATATAAAAAATAATCACTTAGTCATGAATAAAATAATCATACAAACTCGTAATTATGCTATAGTATAAGTGTTTTTAAGTATCTAACTATAATGTTTAATTCATTTAATATGTAGTACGGGCCTTTTGGGTAGCAACATGTCATTTATTGCAGCCTTTGCCTTTACCAATTAATCCTTTACCAACACACATAACAGTGACTTAAAATCTCTGCATGATATACATTTAGCTGGTCTCATGTTATTGTCAGTTATCAAAACTGCATTTATTTTTGTTTCATCCTCTACCTTTCGGCTTCGATATAGACCTGGGAAGGTATCGTTTTTATAATGGTGTGTTTCTATTTTTATTTGCGTGTCTGGACCCATCGATATCTTGTAAACCGCTGAACCGATTTCTTCAATGAGTAAAATTACACTCTGACCGTAGTCGATATTTTGGTTGCCGTGGGAGTGAATCAATAGTCAAAACTTATTTGAATATATTTTCATTATATTGTTAATTATGATAAATGGGTAACAACGGCAACAAATAATCATGGACCGACAATCAACCCTTATCATATCCACCCTTATACTAAAAATATTTTTTTTTAGCAATATATGTAATTACAATGCTTTTATTGATATTTTTATTTCTACCATTATATAGTTTTACATCGAGGCGTTTATTTGAAAGTAATTTTATCACTTGCTATTTTTTTCTGTTACTTTTCATCCGTATATCCGTATAGGCCATCTCACTACCATTTTATTGTAATTAAGTTCTAATAATAGGATACAATTATAATGTCTCCGACGGTATTATACGATTATATGTAAATTTTCATTATTAAATTTTACGTTATTTCATTTCAACAGAGAAAGTGTCCTAGTGTATAATATCGTGTTGGGAGAAAAATATTTTTAAAATGTATTGTATCAATAATTAATTGTGTAAATATGTTTTTATTGGGGGCATTTGAATATTTAGTAAAAAAAAAGTATATATATAAATAATGAAAACCAATGATTGATTACTTTTTCGACGTTTCATTTGACACTTTGAATATTTCACGTTTATTGTTTTAAGTACTATGATGTATTAATGTACACATTATTATACCTTCCATGCAATTAAAAGTTACACCACACGTGTCATTTTAAAATGTAAATTAAAACAGACAACTCTAAGTACTTACGTTGTGAGCTCGACCTTCTGATGATGTTCTCCAGGAATGTGTTTTGAGGGGCGACCAGACCTCGTCGGCCCCCTGGCATAATGGGACCACCTTTATTACCCAGGAGGAGGCCGTTAGGTTGCGTGGTGCTTGGATGTTGTTACTGCTTCGGCCATAATTGGCAAAATATATATATATATACTTAAATAAATACGGATTTTACACTCTTACGTTATTAAAACGACAGACTGATGCGGGATTCACATCTTATAAAAAAAAAAAAAAAATATTAAAACAACAAAATATATGACTTGAGTTTAAAAAAAAAAAACCGAGAAAAAAAATTAAGCGTATTGAAACTTTTTAAAATACATGGCCGAATTTTATTTTTTCTTCGAAATAACTTAATTAATTGTATGTGTTGTGTGTATTGTCCAACTGCAGTTTTTGTCAGCCGCAATCCAAGTGTTTGCGTTTGTGCTTCTTCATAATCGACAACTCCGGATATCAAGTCGGAACACGGCACGGCTATGGGCTGCGCACACCTTCATCGGGCACAATCGACCCTGTTGCTGTTCGGCGACGACACCGGACGACGACGGGAGCGGGGAACGGCGTTTCATCTTCCTTCGGACATCTTGGAACATAAGTTCCTAAGTCCTCCGTCGATTGGCCTCGGGCACGGATGACGGTCACTGTGGTCGAGGCGAAGCCGCCCGTCGGACTTGAGCTCAAGAGTCAGCATCGAGTACGTAATTGTAGTGAACGTTACCAACACATGTCCTGAAAACATACAAAATTATTACAATCAACGATTTTTCTTATCCGAAATTCTACAATACGCCATGTTATTTATCATATTTTCAGCGGATACAACAAATAACACGAGTAATATAGGCCGCCTATGGTCATGCCCTTGTAGAGGGATCTCAAGAAAAAATTGTATCCATTAGGATGGCACAATTTTGATATATGTCCAACTTTTGGCGGAAATAAGACTAACGGCATTAGTTGAGACTAAAATTCTGATATGTTTTTTTATTCGTATAAATTTATTCTTTGACTGTTTGATTTTTCTAAAATTCGATTCACTATCACTTAAAAGTTTGTAGTTACAAACTTCATTTGTGTTTGGTGTCAAAAAAAAAAAAAAAAATCGCTTAAAAAATAACTTATTTTATATAAGACGTCGAAAAAAATTTAACTGGTGACCAAAAATAATGAATACACCTTTTAAACGCCATTTAACTTGTTGGTACTTTGAATGTAAACGTTTAGTTTGTAGTGGTAACCCCAAACTAAAGAAAAGCTGGAATGTCAGTCGTTTGATGTAAAACATTTACGGTTACCTTTGATCCCAGTTTGCTTAACGTACTAACAGGGCGTAAATATTTGCTAGCGCACATATTTTACTCTTTAGTTATTTTGAACTTGAAAGCTCAAAATATACCTACCACCTATTGAATTTCTAGGATGTCAGTAGTTTACTTTGAGTAAAGCCAACAATAATATTGTGGAATCAGTACAAAACGATTATATAACTTTATTGTACCTATACAAATTGTGTGTCGTAATGACAGATAGGTACTTATTGATTAAACTAATATATGCAGTGAAATAGATTTTTTAATTTTTAAATTTAATTGCTATACGGAATCTCCGCCGAATTTTCTATATTCGAGCAGTGGTTATACATTTGATTGCGTTTCAGCGTTAAAAACATCATTGAAACACTTCCTTGCTGGAATTGGATAATATGTGAACTGGCCTACATAGTCAGAACTTTGTATCAGGAATTCGACTGTCAAGCGGATTTGAATTAGTCATAAAAAACAAGAGACCGCCCGAACATGGTTTTGTCTTACCGGGTGGAATTCTATCCATAATAAACTAATTTCAAATCCCTCGATAAGGTGAGTTCCTGTAGTACCCAAGTAAACAAAGTGATGCAGAGAATTTGCGTTGTAATTGTGGCAATTTCGACGCAGCGATTCCAGTTTATCTGTTAGTTCTAGTTGTCGGTAAATGAAGGGTATAGCTTGGGGCTATGGCTTCTACCAAACCTGCTAAAGTTATTCCAATATTATAGTATTCGGGCACGGAAGTTGGTCGAAATGTGTCAGAATATCCTAAGAGAAACTTTATAGTTTATGGATAACACAATATGAATAATCATCTATACGTCGTCTTACTATATTATAAATAAATATATATTTTATATATTTATTTATCTATTTTTAACGTAGGTATATACATATTTACATTTCTGCGCCTGTGTTTTATTATAATATGTTTTTATTCGAATCATTCTTAGTTTGAATATACCTTTATAAATATATTACAATAATATTAACTTCATTATAATATTACAATGCATAAATCTGAAAAATATCATTCATAAATAAAGAATGAGCAAATTTACATAAAAAGAGTTTTTTCGTGAACGGGATTTTATTGCATTATTGTTTTGGTTACAAATGCTGTCAGCGAGTGGCTAAATTTCAAGTTAACGATAAATAATCTTGTAAAACAAATTTTAATAGTTTTAAAAGAACATAATAAAAAAATAATCAGTTTAAACATGTAAATATGGTAGATAAATTTAATAATTTTCACTCTGGCATTAGTGTGTGTATTTTGTTAAGAGTTAACAAACAAATATTTGTTAGTTCAAAAAGTATGGTTTTTTACAACCATGTCTTCTGAAGGATGTGTCTTTTTTGTGTCTGGATATTTTTCTAACCTTTGAATCATTCATGTGTTATATTTCTGCTTAACTTTGTTTTCCCAATGAAATACTTGAACAGTTTAATAATTTAATTTTAAACCGTAGAATTATAATTTAGGTTGCTTTCATGCAGTGTAAAAGGTAAATAGAAGAATTCCTTTTAAAACTAAATACTGTATATTTTTCGTCAAAACTCGTAATTCTTAGAGCGGAAAACCATTAACATTGCAATACAACTTAAAAGTAAACACTAATTAAATTATATTACACAGAGTTGTTATCTCAGTAATAACATTTTAATAATAATTGTTAAGGTATTTTTCAAAATGCTATAAATACAACTTAGAAGTGTTAGAACAAATAATATCTAGAGTATAGAAAGAGTTAGTAAAGAGTTGTACAAATATCAAAAAAATGTCATTTTCAGATAACAATATGGTCGAGTACACATTTGAGATCAGAACTAAGTTGCATTGTTAAAGTCATTTCCAGGAACTCGGCGTTAGACTTTCGCAAGAACATTTCATGTATTTAATAGACCATAAAATATATTTCCATTACCTTTGTTCATTTCTTCTAAAGATCATAATCTACTAAGACTAAAAAAACAACCAGGAAAAAACTAACAATAATAAGGTATATATTTTGTTTATATTGAGCTGTAACTAGTTTAATGAAAGCATATTTCAATTATAGAAAATATATCAAACTATTCTGTTAGAATCATAAGATGTTTTTTTATTTAATAAATTTTGTCCATAGAATATAGGAAGAACGTAAAAAAACATGAAATAACTTTATATTAGACTTAAACAAATGTTGTGTCATTTTAGTTAAATGACTAAATACTCAATAGTTCAATAACGAAACAAAAAACTGTTATGTTTTTTTTTCTTGTATATCAAATACATTTTCTATACCCTCGAATAGAGGGTGTGGTGTTCTGAAAGATTGTAAATATAAATGCATGGAAATTCTTCAGAAAAATTATTTTTGAGAGATTCATATTGTAGAAAACACTAAGCAATAACTGGTGACAGCACTTCCGGTGATTTACATACACTGCCACCGAGAAGGAGCAATACAAAAACACCGGAAACTCCTGAAGCATTCTCACACAATGCTGAATAATATATTATTACTGTTTTAATTGTATATTTTTCAAAAATCCCATCCTCGGGCATCGATTCCCGAGGCTATTTGCTGCCTTGACTGACAATGTAAATCCGAAATGAACATTTATTTGTCCTGATTTACCGTCACGTAGTCCAAAACGAATACATGGAAAATTAAAATTCCAAATACTTTTCCATCGCCTTTAATGCCACCGGCGTTATAAGGGGAAAGCACAGATAAGACGTCGGGTTGACAAATGTCATAACATGTACTATTAAAATGCATCAACTATTGTATAAAAACTATCAAGCTTGATTCTTTAGCACCATTTTTAAAAGTACACTAGAGTTGCGATGAAAAATCAGCAACTTTTGTTAAGACTTAAGATGAACGCTAAGACAACTGCGAACAATATATGTGGCAAAGTCAAGTACACGACAGACGGTCTTTTCATAATTATTGTTGCAGATAACATATTAATCACAATAATACTGTAGGCTATGATGTGCATGTAATGAAAGCACCTTGAATAAAAACTGCTATTTCATCGAAATATTCTAGAATATATTATTATGTAAGTTTTAAAACATGTCAAAGACACTATTATTTAAAGAAGCTAAATTAACAGTTTTAAGCAGAACAACGATAGAAATAGAATACATGTGTAATATTATTTTTTTATATTATGTTTCTTTTAAGTTAATTTGTTTTAATTAATTAAAATAATCGTATAATGTAAGTTTAGATTTTAAACTGTAAATGACAAAACTTTATTGTATTTAATGCGAATTATGAATTAATCCGATTTGGGTACAAGTCAAATTTAAAACGTTATGTCAACATAGATCATAGCTGAATGACAAAATAATAATTATGACTAAAAGCTTTTTGACACATTTTGTGCAACACAACAGTAATTGTATTATTTAACTATTTGGTAATGTCCATGTTAGATTTTATCAAAGCCTTAAGTTCCTGACACGTTTTAGTGTCTATCAACGATTATGTCTTTTTACCATGTCCTTCACAAAATTTGTATGAAATATCTGGGAATAATCAAATATTGCAATAATTAATATAATCTGGCACGTGGTTATGTACCATTTAATAGTGAACGTGATAATCATAAATACAAATAATAATATCCATTGGTAATTAACTAAAATGTATATTTATATATTGCAATTTTTAATAAATTATTTTTTTTATTTTTTTTATTTTTAGGGGTGTGATTACACTATTGCACAGATTCGACCTGACAATGGTACATACGGTATCCATAAGTACGGGTTCGTAAAACAAAGAGATTTTGTAAATCATTGTAAAATATCTGCTTGTTTAGTAGGCTATAATCTAACCACAGCGTCCGTCGATAGGGTTAAATGAGTAGACCCTATTAGGAATCAATGGCCAGCCGGTGCGTGCACTTAAACAAATCCAAAGTCTCCTTCATGAATTTATCTCCCGAGGAGCTAAACGGGCGGTCGCACTGCCATTATGGCTACCTAATGAGGTCTGACCTCGGATCTAAGTTATATAGCATGCAAGTATAATATTATAGACTAAAAGAAACATCTCTATGGTTCAAAAATAGTGTACATTTTTGTTTGTACTTAAGAAAGTATTTATCCAATGTATTTTTTTTTTTTTTAGTTGCATTCTATACTAATTTCCAAATTTATTGTCGCCTCATATTATCAATTTTGTCCAGTCATTAACTCAGTTAATAGTTGGTCAATAAAAGGGTACGCAACGTTTTACACTAACGATAAATGATACGAGTTATTTAGTGTATTTGACTGTAGAAGGGATATTAAGAGATGGCGTATCAAGAAGAAAGAAAAACACGAATGAAGACGACAGGAGCCTAATTTTAAAGCTTATAAAGAAAAAGTCTGCAGTCGACCAGCAAGGATTCGCCTGTGATGCTATTATAATT